TAAATAGTGATTTGCGCGCAGACAGTTCACACATGCGTTTTGTTGTTTCACGTAGTTGAAACGTTCCGAAGGTGTTTTTGTAATAAATACTCCACATTGAGATAATGGGTGATATAAGTTGTTGCAAAGTTTGCATTTAGTTGAATTTTGATTTAATTGGGGTTGATTATTAGTTGGTTTATAGGCTGGAGCTGGTGTTCGTACCAACAAATTGGAAGGTGTATTCGATTTGTACTGGTTTTGGGAATAGGAATTATTCTTTTTGAACTGATAGTTTGAATTGTTATTTTTTGGAATTTGTTTTGATGTCGAGGGTTGCATATTTTCGCTTTGTGGGATGGTTTGCATTGTTTCTAGGGCTTTGCACTGATTAGTAAGAAATTGGATCAGATTTTGGTAGGTTGGAATTTCGGTAGTGCTAAACTTTAACTCGAAAGCGGTTCTTGTAGAAGTATCAATTTTTGACAATAAAATAGAAAATAAACAAAAACACCATGCATCCACCGGGAAGCCTAGATTCTTGAGTGCTGCAATATTCTCCACGAACGTGTCTACTAGCGATCTGAGATCTTTTGGTGCATTATTTTTTATTGAATTTGCATTATAAATTGAGTTCCAATAAGTGCTAGCCAAAAGTCGTTTGTTTTGATACCTTTCGGTTAGTGCATTCCATGCAATGTCGTAATTGCTGGATGTTAATTTGATTGAGTTAAGAATATTTAATGGTTCGCCCTCTAAACATGAAAGTAAATGTTGAAATTTTTTGATATCTGAATAGTTTGTATTATCGTGAACAAGTGACGTAAAAACATCAAAAAACGTTGGCCATTTCTTGAGGTTTCCGTTGAAGGTCGGTATTTTTAATGGTTCTAGTTCATCTCTATATGAATTATTGTTTACAATCGAGGGGGTGAAACCGGAATAATTTGCGCTAGGAAACATCGTAGAAAATATTGCCCTTGTTTGGTGATAAAATGAGTCAGTATCTTTTCGAATTTTATCTTGAGCATCAAATTCTGCGTCGCTATCTCCAAGAAGACCGATAATCTCATTATGGATGGTTTTAAACTGATCATAGTGATCGTCTAGTGATTTATAGGACGCTTTAAAAACTAGCTTTACAGTATCATCGCTTTGAGATTTAATTGCTAAGTTGAAAGTTTCTATAATACGAGCGATTGATACTTTTCGTTGGTTTGTCAACTTTTTTGTTGCCATTTTGTACAATTATAAATATAAATAAATTAAGTTGAAAACTCTGAGTAGATTGTTTATTTGCTAAGAATTGATTTTTTCCTTGTGAATATAGAAATAAAAATTATTACCTTTTAGCTATTATTAATCCCAAACAAAATGCACAAAAGTACACCCAAAAACACATCACTAATTCTTCCTTAATTTGTTTTACGTACGCGATAACCGAATAAAAGATTTGAATTGTTGAATTATTGAATTATTTATGCACCTTTGATTCTAATAAGCAAAGCAAGCCCCTGTGTTGAATTTATTCTTGCGAAAAACAAAATAAATGGAATCTCGTTTTTCTTACTAAAGGAATTTAAAGGTAAACGTAAACAAACTGTGTACCGAAAATTGGATAGAGTGAGACCTGAGTTGAAAAGAGCGCGGACGAATCGGACAGCGCGGACGACACCTAGCTTGAACCTTGACTATTTGAGATTTGAAAATGACGATAAAAAATTGAAATAATATTCGCGAGACCAAAATTATTTCTTTTTTGAAATTAATCGGGTCGTGGGACCAAATAATGTTCACGAAAATTTGCGTTCGGTTTTCGAAAGTTTAAAGAGCAGCGGGACTGTAGCGCTAAATTCAATTTTGCCGCACAAATATTAATGGACATAAACCCGAGCCATACAAAGACAATGGAGGATTGGCACTTACTTGGTTTATGCTGGTTTTCGTCGATCCAGAGAAGCTCCTCGTGTCCAGAAAGTCTGCTTCTCAGCGACACACCGATACAACACAGTCTTAGAAATAAAAATAAGGAATTTTTGCCTTGAATTCGATAGGTTTTTTGATTTTGATAACGACCGAAAAAGCGGACGTGGTTTTAGAGACACGGCTTCGTACTGTCTCCTTCCTTCTCATAAATCACATATTTTTCACATACGCCGAGTCTGCGCGAGCGGTGCCAATTTTGATTTGAACTTGTATGGCTTTTAACGGTTTTTTCTTTCGTATTTTTGAATAAATATATAAAATAACAAAGTTGCATGAACAGAACTTCAGTTGAGTCTTCTCACTCTTGAGATAGCTGCATACCTTTCTACGTGATTTTCCAAGCTGAAGTTTAATTTATTTAAATAATTCATAATTATTATTGTTGTTTCATGATTGTATTTTATGTTATCTAAACCTAGTGGGTTTATTTCATTAGGTTGAAATAAATAACGTTGTTGATGTTTTTTCAAATTGAAATAATAAATGTTTGAAAACTGAGTATTAATTAGGGTCAGTTTGAAATTCATTTTCAAAAATGTGAAATCTAATTTCGTTTGTGAGATATTAGTTTTCGTTACTTTGAAATCAATTTTCATTTGAGCGAAATTAGATTTCACTGATGTGAATTTAGTTTTCATTAATTTGAAATCAAATTTCACTAGTGTGTGCTGGAAATGGTATAGATATACCATTTGGTAGTTCTGAAATAAAGAACTATGTGAAAAACTGGAGGGTCTCGTCTGAACCCTCCCTGTCTGATCACAGGATGTAAGATCAAATGAATAACCCCTGTGAAAGTAGTAATCTTTTTACCCAAAGTCAGTTTGGTTTTAGAAACAAAAAATCAACAACCCTGGCAATCAACCGCCTGAGTTTGTTGCAAAGGGCTTTGAGGAAAACCGCGATACTTATGGGTTCCTTCCTGGACCTGACGAAGGCTTTTAACTGCATCCTTTGACATCCTTTTTAACAAACTTGAGCATTACAAATTCCATCCGAGCAGCATAGCTTTTGTCAGATCCTACATGGAGGAGAGAGAGAACAGTATGTGGTCTTTAATAATGCGAGCTCGAGCAGGCAGAGGATCAAGCCAAGCATGGTGTCCCTCAAGGTTCTGTGCTGGACCTTCTTCTCTTCCTCATCTACATCAATGATCCCCCAAATTTCTGTGAGATTGTGAATCATTTACTTATTTTATTTACTGACGACACAATAACCTTACAACAATATCACCCGTAAGAACCTATCAAAGAGATCATAGAAAACAGCAAATCAAAAATTGAGAACTGGTTTTTAGCTAACAAATTCAGTCTCAACAATAGCAAAACCTAAAATCTTAATTTCACATTAAGAACCACTGAGTGTGAGTTACCTAGTGACAAGAGGGTCAAAGTTTTCGGTGTGTTTATGCAATACTAAACTGGGGTCATGCCTCAAAAGCCAAGCAAATTTTTAAACTCCAACGTCGGCGCATAAGAGTAACAGCAGGTCTAAAGTAAAGAGACTGCTGTAGGGATAGCTTCAGGAGCTTACGGATTTTGACTTTCCCTTGTGTTTTCATTCTGAACTGCATTAACTATGTCAAAAAAAATCGAGAATCTTCCTGACTCATGCAGACATCCACTCGTGTGCAACCAGAAATAGTGACAAACTGGTACTCAGCTTCCATCGATTGGAAAGAGCTCGAAGGGGTTCAAATCACTCCAGGATACGATTTTTTAATGCTCTTCCTACTAATATCAAAAACCTTGAGGAGAGAAAATTTATTGGAGAAATTAGAAACTACCTTCTTCAGGGTGCATTCTACTCTTTCGAGGAGTACCTTGATGGTAATTTTGTTCTTGATTAAGTAGCTCGATACTGTTCTGTCTGATCTTGAGTTTTTTAAAGTGTCTGTATTGTCGGTTATTATTCCTTGTTTTGCTATTGCATAATTTTAACCAAAATTTAACCCACAATTTTAATACAAATTGCAGGATAAATATATTAATATAGGTTACCTAGTTGTTTTGGATTTGTTAACACAGATTTAGATTTAGAGCGTACTATAGTTATTTTCTAATTTGTAAGAAATATAATGTACCTATTTTAAAATAAGATTTATGAAAAAATGTGTACTTTGCATTTCCTGACTTATAAAAGCACTTTTGTGTTATTATTACTAATAAATAAACTTAACTATTAGCTTAGAAGTAAGCACTTCCAAAGCAAGCTTCAAGAGAAACCCTAGCAAATTGGGAATTATATAGAGCCAATCTGGAAGAAAATTTCAAAGTAATCAACCCGGGAAGAATTGGTCTTCACCTAGACCTGGAGGAGAAAGTAGAGCGCGTCAATGCCGGAACAAGTTGAACTATCCCTCCAGTGGATACCGGGACACGCAGGAATCGCACGTAATGAAGAGGCGGACCAATTGGCGAAATTGGGAGCACAAACTCCGCTTTCAGAACCAGAGCCTTTCTGTGGCATAAGGACGCACACTTATAAGGAAGCGCTCAGAAAAAAAGAGCTGACTAAATGGATCAGCCTCTGGGAACAGTTTCCAGGGTTAAGGCAATCAAAAATGTTTCTTGAGCCCCTTCACCAAGGGAGATCAAAATACCTTATATCATTGAGTAAAAACAATCTTCGCATTCGGACTGGATTTCTCACAGGCCACTATCGGTTAAGAGGGCACCTTGAGAGTATTAGAATTATTGGAAACGAAGACGGCTGCCGCTTCTGTGAGGAAGGGAGGGAACCCCAGAACACCTGCTCACGAAGTGCGAGACGATCGTGAACAAACGTATCGCCTGCTTCGGATGCTTCATCGTTGGACGGGAAGAAATTCCATCCATGGAACTATCCAGCTTACTTATGTTTATAAAATCTTTAAAGCTGGATGAGGTACTTTGAGTGAGTATCACATAAACCGAAGCACCCAGAAGGGGAGCAGATTGCAGTGTAGCAATACCCCTAATTTATTCATTCATGTGGCTTCACCAGAGTCTACTCAAGCATGTTCATGTAGTTTCTAGAAAAGAAGTGAATCTTACCTTACAGTGATAACTTTAACAGCCGAATCCTGATGACCATCCATAATGTGCTTCTCAACTTTGTGCTTCAAGTAGTGTACAAAACGACAGTACTGGCACTTGTATAAATACAACCCATGCAACTTAAAGTGCTTGATGACGTTCTCAACATCACTGGAATCTATAGCGACTTTGCAATGGGCGCATGTAAAGTTAGCTTCATCGCTATGCAACGCCATAATATGATGTTTCAGGTTACTCTCTTCAGGGCATAGATAGGAGCATCCTTGAGCACAACAGACGAATCGGCGATGACTTGGTACAAATTCGGGATGTTTCTCTTTGTCTTGTTCTTTTTCTAAGGAAAAAAGAGAATATAATTTCAAATACAACTCACTAATAAACTCTTACCTTTTACAGCAGGAGGTCCACCCATTCGTCCAGTAGGAAAAGAACTAGCTGCCAAATTGCACATTTTATCAAACATTTTTTCATTTTTCTCTAAGCAAGGTACTGGATTTACCGGGGCAGTATCAGGAACAGCTTTCTCATCCAAATGCATTTGAAGATGCCTTATAATGTTCACCTGAAAAACATTTTTATATTCATTTTTTTCTTAACCAACTTTTAAATATACACGGAAACCAATCTGGGATCTTGGTCAGAGCTTTTGCTTAATTACAATACATTTTGGTTCAAACTGACACAAAAAACCGAAACCATATTATCTGGTTACAAGAATTTTAGTGCAAATGAGAGAAAAATTTACCTAAAGCTTCTTCAAAGTAACTGATTGCAGTTCCAAAGTGAGTTGATGGAATTCGTAAAATCGAATATAAGGCATGAATAAATTCAGAAATGAGTAAAAATTGTCAAAAAACTAATATCTGAATTTAAAGAAGACATTCTCATGTGAACTCACCCTGACTTTTGTCTGGAAATTACACTTTCCACATTTAATGTTAGTGTTAAAAATCTGCCGAGTAGGTATGGAATCAATTTCATCCGGGTTATAAGTAGTAGTATCTACAGATAATTTTGGAGCACAAGTAACTACTTCTTTTTCATTTCTGGGTATAAACATAAATTCGTCTACCTCCATATTATTTTTATCAGCTTTCAGTGGTGCCATATTAAATTGGAGGATGCTGTGTCTGGTTTTCAAATGCATTCTAGAAAGGTTAATCATAAAAATTTGCAAATGTTTATTTATTTGGTGCTTACTTAGTGCTTTCAACAGTATTAAACTTTTCATTACATAAACCGCAAAAGAATCTCAACACTCCATGACTAAAAATGTGCTTGGCTAGCCTGTGAGGCGCTATAAATCCCTTGCAACAATGGGCGCATTGGTAGGGTTTAGGTCCAGGTTTCTTGCAGGTTATAGAGTTCATCAAGTGTTTTTTGAAAGCATCGAAAGACGAAAATGAAAGGTTGCACATGGCACATCTATAGAGTTGGTAACCTGTTTCGATAAAAAAAAAGGTAGGTGTATTATGAGCATAAAAATAAATAAACAGGGTGCTCGGGCAGGGCTGAAACTACTACAGTCCTCTTGAAAAGAAATGGCCAATGTATTTGCCACCTTAACACGAGCCCGTCTTAAGGAATAGATGGTAGGCATAAAAGAGTTTTGAAGAGAAAGAGGAAGAGAAAACATACAACATTTTTTGAACAGATATATATACAATTTTTGAATTTTTTATCAAATTAAATTACCAACATTAAATAAAGACATGTTCCTGAATTGACAACTCAAAAACTATAAAAATCTGTAGATTGCTGGATAAGCACTATGGAAGTGCTAAGATTGAATTCCAAAAATTCAACATATATCGTGTTGCAGCCCGTTTGCCATTTTATAAAAGAATTATGTTTTGTCATTGTAAGTAATTTTGCCTTGAATAACTCAATTTATTAATAATACAGAGTTGTTGGAAAAAGTGTTTAACCAAAGCTCCAAACACACTGTTAATACTCAATACTCATGCCATGAATTCAGGTTTCTCCATTGTCCTATAAATCAAAACCAAACGCATTCTGTAAATCTGACCTTGTTACAGCAATAATACAACTCATCGTATGTTGATTAGCAGTGTATCGGAGCTTTGAGTTTTGAGTAAACCTACCTCAATGGGTTGAACACTTTTGTGTTTTTTCAACAACTTTATTCAACACACACTGTCAAGAATTTTTTTTGATTTTGGAAATCTATTTTCAAAATCCTAATTTTTACTCAATTCAATATTTCTATTCTTACCTGAAAGACCACTCATCTTCTTCTCCGAAATACTACTGTCAGACTCCTCATCAGTAGACCCTATATACGATGCAGATTCATGGTGAACACTAAGTTTTTGCGGAATCGGATTTGTTGCAGATTCCACAACAGGTGGAGCTGCCTTTGGCTCCAACGATTCAGTTATGGGCGCTTCCATATCAAGCACCAACTCCGTAAGTAAATTTAACGGATCTTCAGAAAGTAGAGTATCATCATTAATAAATAGTTCTCTGCCCGATTCTCTATCGGGTTCCGATTGGAGATTTTCTTGTTGTTCATTTACGTTTATATGCTCTATTGGAGCCATAACATCAATAGGTTCTCTGTTTTGCACTAAGGAACTACTGTTTGAGGGCCCACTAGAAAACAAGACTAACGGAGGTGGGTTTTGTAATGAGGTCTCTGGATACGGAGAAGTATTGGAACATAACGAATCCAGACTGGCGTTATTTGATTCATCACCAAAATCAAGAATACTTTGTATAGCTGATTGTAGAATATGGTCCTCAGTCAAAATAGGAATGCTGTTTTCTGATTCTACTGTACTAGAAACAGGTAATACTTCAGCTAGATTTGCCACTTCCTGCCAAGATTGTCTTGGTTTGGTTGAAGTTGCACTAGCACTTACACTAGCTAATGTATTAAAAAGATTTCCAGAAACTGCAGTAGCTGATGTTGTTGTAGGTCTCGCTCGATTATTTTCCGGGAAATCTGGAGGATAAATAGTTATACCACCAAACCTAACGGGCTCTTGGGGGTTTAAACTTTGTGTCGAAGAAGCTGTAGATGCCTGTGCTCCCACTCTTATTGGCACCAAGTTCGGCGGTATTGTAGAACCTGTAGGAGAATGAAGTAAAACTTTGCCAATAGGCCCCAGGTGTTTTAAAGTTGATGCTGTAGAAGCTGTAGAAGTCTTGCCTAAGACTTGACCAAGCGACGCAGTAGATGTTACTGATGGTATTTTTGATTGAGATACCATGGAATTGGTAGTTAACAGTAAAACTTTTTCGTTTGTACTTGTAGCTGCAACTAATAGTTGAAGATTTGGATTCGACAGAAGTATTTTGCTATTATTCTGTGGGATCGGTAGAAACATTGTATTAGACGGCGAAGTTTTAGGTGGAGTCAAGGCCATAGTTGATTCTTCAGTGTTTGTGCTGGCATCGACCTCAATTATCTTGATTTTCTGACATTTGGATCGTTTTTTGATTACACCTATTAGAGTGGCAGGGAATTTTCTAATGTGGCCGAGGTATTGGTAAGCTTCATCTGTATATCCTACTTCTTTATGCTGAAAAAAAAAGATATTTATGGAAATTAATGTATTTTACGATATTGAAGATTATTTTTTAATCTACCTATCAATTATTTTAAAAAACGTATGTTGTCCTAATTAATTTTTAAATAATTTATCAATAAGAACAAACATGCATGTTCTGTGGAGATAAACTCAAATGGTATCAATGTGTAGCTGAAATTCCAAAATGCCTTATTGTCCGTAGTTTTTATTCTGACAATTTCCGTATGAAAAGCGAGGGGGTGAAACTTGACATCAAGTGGCCCACACTTTCTTTCTTTCTTACAATGAGTTGCATGGACTGCCATGGCATGGGGGTCTAGTGTGCACTTCGGTGTGTTCAGTGTTGTAGCAGTAATCATATGGTCTACCGCCTTTTTTGAAATAATTTGTCCCTAATCGATTTTATTTTATTATTGCATGTAACTTTTTTTGAAATACCTAAAACAACATTTCAGTACCTACCATCTCCTTCTTTATTGAAACAGCTTTAAGCACAAAAATAATAGAGAACTGTATTGAAAAAAAAAAACTCTAAAAAGTTTATATTTTTGCAAATAAAATTCACTAATTCCACACTAACCACAAAGTCTCTGGGGATGAAGTGGTGATGGCATGAATTCAAAAGCTTCCACTGCAGTAATCCATGCTTTAAATGAAGGTATATTTTTAAGAATTTTAAGTATCAGATTAAAATCGACAGAATTTAACTGTAGGCCAGGAAAGAGAGGTTGAACCTCGCAAACTCGACACAAGTTCTGTTTTATTTTTTTTCTGGTAGGACAAGGGCTGCTTATTATGGATCTAACTTTTTCCAACAAAATTTCACCCTGGAACATCTTCTTTAATCCCCGTAAAGGTGTTTTTTTGTGGTTTTTCCGAAATGTACCACTACGTATCCAGCAACGGCATATGCCTATCACCTACCCTTTAGTCGGGGTGGCGTTCTAAAGTTGAATGACCTTGAAAAAAGATGTTGGAAATTATTATTTTTTTACTGAACAGTAAGCGAATCCACCACAAACTATACAGCAAATACTCATAAATAATTGGCCGATTTTTTGGTATATGTTTTATTTAAAAACAGTAACCCATTTAAGATATACAGGGTGTTGAAATTTGAAAACCCCCTTTCATATCATCTGAAGGGCTAATGCTAGGCTGTTCAAATTCATATAATGCACCCCTATTTTACACCTGGAACCACCCCAAAAAAAAATAAAATTTGGATAAAAAAAAGTTTTTTTTTTTCATCTTCTCGCACACAATGAATGCCCTCTATGTGAATGGTTCAAATAATATTTTGAGTACACCTCCGACATACATGCATAGACAACAAAAGCATTTTTCTAGTACAACCCCACTAGACGGAAAAAATAATATTAAGGGGGTGATAAAAAATAGCTATTTTCCTAACGAGTGCGGAAATTTCTTCCCGCAAGAGTTCATGTCACAATGATTATTTCAAGGTCTTCCCGCACTGAGTGCGGGAAGAAATCTCTTCCCGCACTGGTGCGGGGAAAAAAGTCTTCCCGCACAGCAAATCGTGCGGGAAGAGCCATTTCCCGCACGCTCGTAGAAAAAATATGTTTTTTTTTGGCTTTTTGTGTCACATATATCTACTTATTGCAACAACTCTCTGGAAACTACCCCTGCCCCTTATGGAAGTTGTCGCAACTACTCTTTTGCGATTATTTTGTTACCTATGCATTGTATGGGAAGGAAATTTATACGAAATTGCAGACCACCATTTGCTCTACAAATAGGTTCCTAATGCATTTTTTTAATATTTTGCAACCGTTACGCCACAGTGGCATCCCAAAGCTCAGAAATTTTATAGCGAATTCCAGTTCTACCTACATGGTTACCACACCATTGTTGGGTGGTGTGGAAACGACTACAAGCTGTCGATGTCGCCACTGTATTTTATTGGTTGGAACATAGGGCTTATATTGCATGAAATATAATTGGTATATATGTATTTAATACTGTTATAATAAATCAATTAGATATGTCCTTATAACATGAGCTGAAGACCATTGAAAAAAAAAAAAAATGGAGTTTGCGTGACGTTTTCCGACATTTGGGCTACCGTTGTGGTTGAAAGGTGGTAATTTAGCAAATGAATTTAAGCGATAAAATGTATAGGTGACGAGATAATGGAATAAAACTGGAATCCGCTTCTAAATTGTTTAATTTTGGGACGCCACTGTAGCGTAATGATTGCAAATATTAAGAAAATGCATCAAGATCTTATTTGTAGAGCATATGGTGGTCTTCAATTTCGTATAAATTTCCTTCCCATACAATGCATAGGTAACGAAATAATCGCTAAAGAGTGGTTGCGACAACTTCCATAAGGTGCAAGGGTAGTTTCCAGAGGGATGTTGCAATAAGTAGATATATTTTTGGAAAGCTTATTTAGTGCGCTACTGACCTATGTGACACAAAAAGCCAAAAAAAAATAGTATATTGTTTTATTAGGAGTAAAAGTGATACTTTTTGTGGCGAGACTAAATGTTTAACGGCCGAACGTAGTGAGGCCGACAATTTTAGACGAGCCACAAAAAGTGCTTTTCTCCGAATAAAACATACAATTTTTTCCGCAAACGGTGTTCAAAGCGATGGAATCTAGGAAATTTCTGTGACGTCACTTTTTTGTCCGGCCGTGGGCGTACAAAATAGTATATTGTTGTATTAGGAGTAGAAGCTTTACTTTTTTCTGCTGAAGCAGTAGGTTTGCGAGCCGAACGTAGTGAGGCTTGCAATACTGCTGAAGCACAAAAAAGTGCTTCTACTCCGTATGCAACACGCTATTTTTTCTCCAAACGAATGGGGTAAGCTCGAGGCAAGTGAATGGTTGAGCGGCAGTAAAAGTACAAGCGGCACTAAAAGTACTTTTGCTGCCGCTGCTGGGGTTGCCAAGCAGCATAGAAATTAAATTTCTACCACCTCGACAGGTGTTAACCTGCTGAATTTGCCTAGCAGCATAGAAATTAAATTTCTGACATCTTGACAGGGGTTAACAAAGTGACGGTTTTTTGACGTTTGGAGAAAAATTAAATTTCTACCACCTCGGCAGGTATTTACCTGCTGGATTTGCCCACCAGCATAGAAATTAAATTTCTGACATCTTGACGTTTGGAGAAAATAGTATATTGTTGTATTAGGAGTAGAAGCACTTTTTTGTGCTTCAGCAGTATTGCAAGCCTCACGTATTGTTAATTTGATTATTCCCGGCACGCGTGGGTGGTTTTTGTTAAGATTATTGCAGCCACCGGTTACAACCACTGGATGTCGCCGTATATGGTCCATTTAAAGCATATTTTAATGAAGCTTGCGATCATTTCATGGTAAAAAATCCTGGTCAAACTATTTCTTTGAAAGATATTGCAAAGCTCGTTGGTCTGGCATACCAGCGGGCTTTCACTCCACTGAATATCACAAAAGGATTTTCCAAAACTGGCATTTACCCCTATAACTCACACCTATTCACCGATGATGACTTTCTTACTGCGAGAGTTACCGACCGTCCTGACCCTCAACAGCGCGAACCTTCACCCGATGCAACTCCAACACCTTCTGCTCATAGAGAACGGACACCTGAAGCAACCCCGGAACATATTCCTAAACCTTCTTGCTCCTACAAGACCCCTGAAGAAATAAGAGCATTGCCGCAGGCTCCACCAAGAAAAAAACAAGCATCAGGAAGAAGACCTGCAAAGACAAAAATTCTAACGGACACACCGAACATGGAAGAAATTAAAAATGATCACGAAAAAAGAGGAGAGCACAAGAACAAAAAACAATTTAAGAAAAACCTTATGGGCGAAATATCCACTGAAACAATCAATATGAAAAAGCCTGTAAAAAACAAGAAACGAAAAGCAATTGAGGAAGAATCTGAATCTGATAAATCTTTGTATAATTCATCCTCGTCTGAAGAAGTAACTGATATAGAAGACCACATGGAAAATGAAAAAGAAGAAGAAAATTTTATTACAGGGTTAGTAAATGTCGAGGGGTACGACACTTCGCTAATATATTGTACAACCTTTGGATAATCGCGGATAATCTATACTAATATCAATAATCCTATGATAATCCACTAATATCTACTAATACCAAGACTAATACTGGTAAAATTTCATGATTTTTACAAAATACCTGCTAATTTCATATAATACTAATAATATGAACTAATCTACAAATCTCAAAATAGTTCACTAATTCATATTAATTTTATAATATCGAATAATATTGGACTAATATCTAATAATTTTATAATATTGCTGCGGCAAGAGATATCTATCGACTATATTTGGATTTTTTTTGCAATCCCAGTCTATGGGTATCTTTCTTTATTCCACAAAAGAAACAAGGACACCAATAGTCACAACTTTTAGCAAAGTTATTGACCACGTGTGTATTGTGTTCGCACTTGTTCGGTGCATTTCGTATTTCGCGGCGTATTATTGATGATCAAATAGATCTAAAAAGAATCAGGAATACCTATTCTTCAGAGTATGTAAACTTTCCACTTTTCCATAGTTATTTATGTACTGTTCCGGAACCTAATTTTGAAAATAACAAGCAATATGTACCATCATCACGAAAAGTAACTGGGACAGCATCATGTTAGCTCTTGTACTATTATATGATTTTAGGTGTCAAATATTTGTCAAATTATGAATTAAATGCATTGAAATGAATGACAGTAGACTTAGTCCAGGAGATTAATATGAATTATTTTTGTCCCAGATACTTTTGGTGAAGATGGTACCTATCTGCAGAGTTCGTCGAAATTATTATTGATTTATTTATTGCTAAAAAACCAAGAAATTGAAAAATTCGTGAATCTGAAAAATCATCAAGTGTTTCTAGTGTTGATGGTATTTCAGATTCTAGTGAAGACTTAGATGGAATTGATGACGCAGCTAGTACTGCAAGTTTTGAATCTAATTCAGAACAAAATCCAGTGGAATTGGAAAAGTATTATGCTATTTATTGATGACACCTCCTATATTGGCAAAGCCGAGTCAATTCTGAATAATAAAAATATTCGGTTGAAATTCTTAAAACAATCCCTGGATAAGTTTTATTGACCAGAAAAGGTAGAATACCAAAGTGTAGAGTCTAAATTTATTTTTCACGGTCCAATATCTTTAGACGGGTTTGATACCTTTCTTAAACAGAGATGGGAAATGCAAACAATAAAGAAAAAATACTGGGAGTTTGAGCAGAATGTTAAGTTTTTTAGGGCTGGTATAGTATTGTTAATCCAAACTGAAACACTGAAAAAACATCTAGTCAGCATACATCAAACAAATAAAGAACATAGGCGTCATATAATTTTTATTTCTTTAAATGGTGATAATCAATATCGAACGACACAACTAAAGAATACCTGGAATGAAACAGCATTCTTCCCGGAAAGACGTAAGTAGCCCACCCCAATAATTTAACCTATAGGCGAGTGCCAACCTAAATTATTATTTTGGGCTACTGTAGCGATATTTCCGCACTGCTTATATTTTGTACAGAGAAACTTTACAATAGATTTTTTATGAAATTAATAATTAAGGAGAGAGCGACGCGATGTTGAAATATCCTCGTATAATGCAGTGTTTCAGGTCAGAATAAATATACTATACTTTTGCTTAACACATTTAACAACAGTTAAAGTTGATCAATATTTTGAATGTGTTAGATAGATATACTTAGTGCCGGTACTTTTGCTCTCATTTAACAGCCGTTAAAAATAATCAGGGGTTAGAATGTGCTATAACCACATCATACTTATAGACCTTGGCCCATGCAAAACTTTGGCGACGTATCAAATCTGTTAATCGAGAGCAAAAGTATCGGCCCTTAATCAATGCAAATTAATAATTCAAAACCCTAATCGACCACAAACTACATGAGAATTTCAGTAATATTAATTAGGTAATCTTTTTGTGCACTCTCTATACCTACCTCCGTTTTTTATTAAAATAATACGTGCTAATACAAAAAAATTATTATCGATGCCTAATAATACTTGCTAATATCAATAATAATAGTTACTAAAATCTTATAATACTGACTAATTACTAATATTGGATAATCCCGCGCATAATCTGTTCTGATCCAAGATAATCCGATAATCCATACTAAAATCATGTAATATTTACTAATATCCGATATTATTCACTAATACTGCCTAATACTTGATAATCCTCTAAAAACTAATATTGTACAAAATATCAAAGAGTGTCGCACCCCTCGGTAAATGTGAACGATTATGTGCTGGTACGATTTGCCACCAAAAAAACTCTAACATACTACGTTGGAAAAGTTTTAGAAACAATAAATGGAGAACATTTAATAAATTTCATGCGGCGAAAGAAACCAGGATATCATTTTGTGTATCCTGACGTCGAAGATCAATCTTTGGTATCCGAAGAAGATGTTATGAAGTTGCCGCCTCCAAATTTTGTGGGTGGAACTGCCAGATCCACAAGAAAATTAAATTTTCCTGTAAAATTTCAAAAATTTGACAATATTAATTAGTTTGTAACGTTGTAATTTTGAAACTTTTGCGGAAATAAATGTTTTGAAAGTATTTTGCAGTCTTTTAAATATTGTATCAAGTCTCCCGTACACTGTATCAAAGCTCCTTCACAATGGGAGACTTGATACACCTTACAGTTTTTTTAAAATATCTAATATCTCGTACCATGTCTTAAATTGCCTGACTTTATCTGTGCATAATTAATTGCAAGTTAGTTAGGTATAAAGGGCACCACAAAGAGAATTTATAAAAGGTATACCTACAGTCTTTTTTCAATTTAAATATTAAGTGTATCAACCATCCCTAGTCTCCCCTACAGTATGATATCAATCCAATCAATAATAGGTACGTACAATGAATAAGATTTTCTGATTGAAAACGTTTGCAGGTTTAAAATAAACACCTAAATAGAAAGAAAAATTACAGTGGTAAAATTACAGGAGGTAAAATCCCGATTTCGGTATAATGTAGGGATTGGAACATACCTGCTCATCATTTTTGGGAATTCGATGAATTTTTACTCTATTCCCTCGGCTTTCACACATTGCCACACAACCAGATAAAACCATTTTGCTTTGAACGGAGAAAATTTTCAATCTCTGATTCAAATTACTGAATAAAAATGAAATATGTCAAAATTTGTCAAAATATGATGAAAAAGTAAAAGTGAAACGACGCTGCCACATGTCAAAAGCATGGGATATTTGGTTTGAAAAAGAAATGTAATTTCAAATCGTACTACTAGCAATTATATGTTAACGAGGTACACGACTTTTTTTTCCCATTGTTGGAAGCTTTTTAAAACAAATAAAGAATAATCTGGACTTTTTATGTATAAATCTGACAACAGCATTGATATGTCTTTTTGGTTATGAATTAAATTAATTTATAATAGACCAGGAGATTTTGGAGATTTTTCTTGTACTACTTTTTTTTGATCGCAACTGTACATTAAAACCTTAAAAATCAACAGCTAGATCTCGAGCTAGATCAACCGTAATTCAACTAAATGCAAGTGTAATTTTGCCATATTCGTAGGTAATGCCTTGTGATGTCATCGTAATTCCTGTAATACCGATTAAATGCCACCATAATGCCTCTAATTCCAGCGTAATTCCAGTAATGCGTCGTAATGCGTTGTAATTCTATACAATTTGTACATGTATTGACCAGTTGTTACCCCCTCGACAATAGTAATAATAATGAGCATGCAACACTGTTGATGCTGAACTATACAAAATCGGGATTATTCTATTTCGTTACTTACAAAATACACTTTGCACAACCGAACACTTAAATTCTAAAAAACAAGTTTGGTTTTCCAAATATAAAGCTCACTAGCTTCTTTGCCGAATGGCGAGAAAACAAGTACACTCTGGAGGAAGTTAGATTTCTGAATTTCACAATAATACAAGTGAATAAATAAACTTGTGGACTCTATCCTTAAAAAACAACAAAAGGGATGGCGCGAACCATATTTTAAAACTCTACTGTAAATCTAAGTACTGTACAATATTAATTGCGCGCACCAAGGTCAACTCTTAAACACAAACTCAAACTGAAACTGCTGGCGCCGTATTGCCATCAGCCAGGATGGAATGCACCCGGCAAAGAGGGGAGATATAACAGGTACTGAGTGGCACGACATCGTGCAACATGCAGCGAGCCAAAATGAAAATATTTTCGGCAAAATGAATAAAATTGGGATGCCTATTATTGCGAAGCCAACACTCTGCTTGAGTCATATTCCCGCTGCCCTCAACACTAAACTACACACTTAAAAATAAAAATCAAAGCACAAATATGACAGTCGACATGGAACATTGAAGTCAGTCATATAAAAAGGTAGGTAATAGTAAATTAAAACTTACCTTCGGCAAAGAAGCTTCATTCTTCCTAACTAAAATATTGGGCATCATATTTGGATGCACTTCAGCAAAGTGGCTGTACATCCTATGAATGTCTTTGCTATTCACTTTACAATAGCTGCACTGATAAGTGCGAACCTTGTGAACAAGTGCCCAATGGTTAAGCATCGAGTTGGGGTCCAACTTCTGGGAACATCTGGGATATCCGCACTGGATAGACTCTTGTTTATGGATTCTCAGATGTCTAACAAATTCATTTTCAAATAGGTACTCGTGACATTTCAAGCTTCCATCTGGAAAAACGAAAACAATTATGCGAATAAATATTATTTTTAATTCTATTTGAAATCTGTCTATAGGGCAAAAACCACCTGCTAACCAATTGAACACAAACAAAAAAGAAGAAAATTGGCAATGCGCTAGCTGTGTTAATTTGAAAAGTAGAACCAATTTCGACATTAGAAAAGTGGATGATTGGGTAACTCAATTTCTTTTGATTTGCATAAAGAATATAAATATGTAATGTATAGCTAGATCCGTGACGTGTCAGGTATGATTTGATCAATTGTTTTTCTGCGATAGGTTCCTATTACATTGAAATTTGTATCAACTCACCTTTGTTTGCACATACACAACGATATGGCTCGCAAAGTTGCTTGCAGTCAATTTTCATGTCCGCTGCGGAAAACTTCTTGGCTGCTTTATGTGGAGGAACCGATATAACAACAAACGCTTGATTGGGATGGCACTGCTCCAGATGCAAACAAACATACTCAGGCGCCACCGCCCTATACAAGCAATACCGACAAGTATGTCTACTCGCGGCATGTCTAATATCTATATGCGTTGGCACATGATCCCAAGATGTTTTCACGTCACAGTAGACACATGGTACCATGGTAGCATTGTCAGATGTGTGCTCTTTCAAGTGGAATGCGAACATAGTGCGCACATTCGAGCTAAACTTACAAAAAAAGTGAGGACATTTGTATAGATTGCTAGGTGTTTCTATAAGCGATTGGAGAGCTTTGGGACCTTTTCTTGGTCGACTTGCCTCGAGACTTGTTAATTTTGCTTCTCTAATCACTTTCGATTGTGGTGGGGATTCTTCCTGGCTGACTGGAACTAATGGAGGTAATTTTGTTATGGCGGTAGCTACCGACTCAATTGGCGATGCACTATAACTTGGTTCAGAATCGGCTAATGAGGTAACGTCCACGATTTTGAAACCGAATGATGTGTCTATTGGTTCCATAATTGCCGCAGATGCAGCAGATCCTTCTTTAATTATTGAACTAACTACGGACTCCTTTATTATTTGCAGAGGAGGACAATTATCAGATATTGGGAATGAAGAAGTATTAGATTTTGAAGATATCAAAACAGACGCATCAATCTCATCTTCAATATCTTGCAATGGTACAATTTCTTGATGTTTTTGTTCCTCTGGCTCATCTATTTTAGATTCTTTTTCTTTTTTAATCGATAGTTTATCGCCGCTCAGTCTGCGCATTCTAACCAGAGACATTGGAGAAATGAAGTCTTCATGAGCAAATACCAAATGATCATAAAGATTTTCTAATAATGTTGTATCTTGAGTAATTGTCACAACTACGCCACACCTATCACACAACGAAGAAGTTAATTGAAGGTTTTTGTGAATGCCAAGCTTACAGTGAATTTTAAATACTGTTTTGTCTTTTGAGGTAAAGTCACATTTGTTTACATGACAGGAATACAATATATCCGAGCCAATTTTAGTAGCTCTTATTAAGTCTCCAATGGATATAAACGATTCTGGCAACTCACCATTAAATGCTTCATCTTGCATTGGTAATTCCACGTTTTCATTTTTCTTTGACGAATCTTCTTCAACAGCCTCTTTAATTTTTCCTTGCAATTTTTGAATGGTGTTGGAGAACAAATTATTCACTTTATTTTGTCTAAATTTAATACTACATGTCTGAACAGAAGGTTCTTTCTCCACTTCAGCTTTTTCAATAATCGCAGGGGGAGTTAGGGGTTTTACAAAGAGTGGCGCTTCAATACTTGGCTGTGTAACGTGTTTCTCTAACAGTGGCATTTCTCTCGGTTGTCTAGTTGTGTCTGGAGAGTCTTGTGGCTCTTTTTTGATTCTTATGGCATCTAGTTCTTGTGCACTGTTTAATCGATTAGATAATTTGTTGATAAAATCTAGTTTAGGTTTCGCAGCAAATGACTTATTAACTTCGTCCATTTGCCTTAATCGGTCTTCTTCTATTGTTTTAGCTTGTTCTTGAAGTATATCGCTTCTACACGTGAACACATTAAGATCACTTTCACTTGACATATTCTCGACAACAGGAGGGACCATTTCATTAATATTTGTATTACTACTTCTAAAAAGCTTTACAGCTTCTTCTCCGCTGTGTTTTTCGACTGGAGTTCCATCTCTTGCAATATCTTTGTCTTCATTCGATTCTTTGTGTACGGATTGTGTTTCAATTGAATCCTGCACGGAGGATTCTGATTCGTATGCATCTTCAGGTGGTTCTTGATGAGCTCTTTTTTTTGGAGAGCCTGAATCATTACTCTCCATTAACGTTTTTAGTTTTGCAGAAGCCTTCTCCTTAGCTGCCCGAGTACTTCTACTGGAAAGCGTGATAATTGAATCAAAATCATCCTTGCTATCTTTATTTATAAGATTTTCCAGGCTTCGTCGTCTCTTTCTAACCGGAGCAACAACATCTTCCTGAGAATTCTTTAGGGAAGACTCTATCGATGCTTTCGATTTGGACCGAAGCACTGGTATTGTCGCCTGGGATTCCTGTTCTGTTGTTTCTTCAGAAACTGAAATTTTACTTTTTCGTAGCGTTTTCGATTTTGGACCGGGTTTTTTGCGATGTGAAGCCAAGGTTGTTGTAACTTCATCGGGCATAGTTTTAGATTTTGGACCAGGCTTTCGAGGTTTTATCAATGCTGAAGTAGGTTTACGACCACGTTTTATGCTAACTTTTACTGGCGAAGCCTCCGTAGAATCTTTCATAATACCCTCGGAACTTTTCGCTTTTGTCAGTGGAAGATCTAAGATTGTAGACATATTAATCTTGTGAATAGTCGCCTTGACGCCAAAATGATGAACCTTAATATGATCTTGTAAGCTTTTTTCTTTCAACTGAACAAAATTGCATTCGCTACACATATGGGCGAAAACAATAGGGAAATTAAACGGTTTTGTTGGTGTTCTTTCACTTATATCGTTATTCGGATGAAAATTAAGATAGTGTCCAATCATTGATTTTTCACTTGCAGCAATATATTCACAAAGTCCACATTCGTGTCGGTATTCCCCAGTGTGCGTAGTAACATGCTCGTAAAAGTATCGTGGCGAAATAACTCTTGCATAACCGCAGATTCGGCAGGAATATTGAAACTTTCTCTTAGGTAAGTTTTTGTTTGTTAGATTTTTGAAAGTTTCTTTGTTCAAAGCAAAATCTTCAATGGCTTCTGCTGCAGCATGAGGAGGTAGTCTCGAAGTTAAAACTTCCGATTCTGGATGCTCTTTCAGGTAATGCGCAGGCATCCAATGTCCACTATATTGACATAATTTGCAATTAAGCTTAGTCTTAGTTGTATAATCATAGTAATAATCTATATCAGGTTCAACAAGAGTTTCGTTCATATCCAAGTCACTTACAGAAGCTGTTCCGGATGCCACAGAAGTTGATCGTACTGGACTGCTCTCTTTAGACTTTCTTTCTTGGGATTTCTTTTTCTTAGGTTTGCTTATAATACCAGAAGCCCATTTCCTACGTCTAGTTCTAGGTTTTTGCGTCTCTGATAACTCTTTCAGGGATTCTTCTTCAAATTCTGATATACTGTGATACGAAACATTTTCTGAAGCGTCAAAGTCACTTTCAGCCAAACTAGTTTGCCTAGATCGACTTGATGCTACATCCAAGACATCATCTGGAATCTTTCTGATAACTATTTTCATTTGTTTTAGAATTGGCGTTTCTGAGCTGTTGCTCGCCACTTTTCTTTTAGGTCCTCGCTTTTTTATAACTTTTGTTTCCTCCAATGAAGGCGGTTTTATGGATTCTTGCTCAGGGTTCAAAAGTACATTAGGATCGTCCTTTTGCGCACACCTTCTTTTACCAGTAGCTTTAAGAACACCCTCTCTGATAAACATGTCTTGAATATCAGCATGGAGAAGGTCTAATTCAGATTTCTTTTTTTGAGCTGCTGTTGCTACCTGAGAGGCACGTTTGCGATTTTTAATTCTTTCACCAACACTCACTACTATAGGTTCTGGATCTAAATCTCCTTCATTGAATTTTTCTTCTTTTTCCGAATGCTCCAGAGATTCAGTAACTTCATTTACTTGAGTTTCATTAGTATTTCTAGTACTTGTGGGTAAGTCTTTATTTTCTACATCATTATCGCGTTCCGTTACAGTACTGGAAACTATTTGCTGGTCTTTTGTTGCTTCATTGGAATCAGGATTTTTTTCTTTGTTCGATTGTGCCTTACTTAATAAACTTCGAACCCTCTCCACTTGTTGAGAATGCAATTTACCTAGGAATGATTCTAAAAGTGAACAGACTCTGGCGCTTTCATCTTGGTTACTTGTTGTATCAAGGGCGTCTTTGACCATTTGAAAAATCTCAATTGAAGTATCTTCACTACTAGTGGCTTCTTGATTTATCTCAGTTTCATTAACATTTTGGGATCGTTCCAAATCCTCATTCGATTCAACTTCGGGTTGTTTAGGAGTTTTTGTAGAAGATACAGACTTCTCTTCCTCAATTTTCTCATCAGAAAGAATTGTTTTTGAATCTGAAGTATCTTTAGAAGAAGGACATTCATCAATTTGTTTTTTATTTGCAGCAATTTCACTGCCTTCTTGCACAACCTTATTTTTTGGAGGACTTTCACTGATAAGCTTATTTTCTTCAGGTTCTTTATTATTGGAAACTTTTTGATCCTGATTTAATTCATCTATTGAATCCGCAACAGATATAGTTTCTTCAATATTTTCCTCTTTTTCAATTATATTTTCACATTCTAAATTGTATTCACTTTCAAAAATATCATCCTCTACCCAAGCTTCTGAATATGACAGAGCGATAGAGTATTGTGGAGTTTCAAAATTTTGCGCTTCATGATCGTTTTGGTCAACGTTTTCTTCAGGTGAATCCATAGTAGGCGCTGGACCACAATCAGCTTCATCTAGGATAGTTATATTCTCAAGTGTTTCGCTTTCATCAGATTCGCTCAATATTCGTTTCCTAGAACCACCGCTATTTCGTGTTTTGCGACTGTTCGACTCATTATTTGTATCATTACTGCTATTATATGTATCGATAGGGCTACTAGTAGGCTGTTTATCGCTAGGACTACTAATAGGCTTTTTATCGCTAGGGCTACTAGTAGGCTGTTTATCGCTAGAGCTACTAGTAGGCTGTTTATCGCTAGCGCTACTGATTGTCTGTTCATCGCTAGCGCTACTGCTCCTTTCGATAGTACCACTACCGCTACTACTACTTGTGCTGATTCTTGTTTCACTGCTACTTCGCCTTTCTTCTGTCTTTTTCTGATCTTTTATTGCATCAGTTTTTCTAGGTTTCTTTGGAATTTTGAAGCTTTGTACACCATAACCGCGTCCGGTCCTTCCTTCTCCAGCATTGTAGAGACTGTTTAAAGGAGAACCAAATGCCTCATCGTCTTCTTCCTTCTTTTGTCCATGTTGTGAGTACATTTTGTCAAACTTACTATCTTTGAGTTTCGCTTTTAGTCTAGGGTCTCTGGATTCTACTTTTTCTTCACTGGGTGATCTATCTCTCGTTCTTAATTTCTCCCTGTCTCTAGATAATCTTGGATCTTTAATATCCGTTTCTGTTTCCTCTTCGTCTTTAATTTCTCTTGGTTTTAAACGCGGATCTTTTATTGAATTTTGCTCTTGAGCCATTTTGGCCTCCCTTTCATGCCTCTGCCTCATTTCCCTATACTCCCTATAACTTGTAGGGCCTTGCGGCCTTACCGGACGTCTTTCCCTTTCACTATTCCTTCCTGGCCATCGGGATCGCTCTTGGTATAAAGATTGTTCTTCACAAAAATAATTATTAGGTTGTTCATAATTTGTATTTATTTGCATTTGACTTCTTTGTGGATAGAAGCCTTGAGAGGCTTGGTAAGAGGGATAACTATTACTTATGCTCAGAGCTTGCTGCTGAATAAGAGCATTTTGAGCTAAATCATAGGGATTCATGTTGCCTGGTTGTTGAACGAAATGATCAGGTCCCATAAAATTATTGTCATTTCTCTGATTGAAACTGTGCATTTGATTTTCGGGTACAAAATTATCGAATTGATTATTTCCATTAAACTGAGATGCACCATAACTGTTTGCAGGTGGTGAATCAAAGTCAGGTCTGGGAGTCATAACAGAGCTGTAATCAGGTCTAGGTATAGCAAAATCTGATCTAGGGATAGTAAAGTCCGCTCTTGTGGGAACAAAATCGGCCCTCGGACTCATAAAATCCGGCCTCGGGGTACCAAAATCGGCTCTTGTGGTAGTAAAATCAGATCTAGGAGTACCAAGATCCATATTGACAACCCTATTATCAACATGAGCAAAACTAGCTGGTGGAGTTGTTCGAATGCCCATACCAGTTTGCTGCATGAACGATCTTCCTAGTAATTCAGGGTTTGGAGAAGGTGTCATATATCTCGACGGTAGGATTGCTGGTATTGGTGAAGGAGGTATGGGTCTGGGAAGCTCAAAAACAGTTTGCTGTTGTAGGGGTGGCGATAAAGGACTTTCTAAAGATCGCATTACAACAGGAGTTCCCAAATTATGTTGAGGTAGTCTTTGTGGTTCTGGAGGGTTCGACCTTGGATCATTCAGCACAGGTTTAATCGCTTCCGTGTTTTGGGTAGCTCCTAGTGAAATTCGACTCACAATTCGCTGTAAAATTTCAGGAATCACTACAGTTGGTTTGTGTTGCTTTGGGGGTGAATTTAAATTTTTGTTGCCATGAGGATTTATCAAAGATCTAATAGGAAACGCTTCCATGGTGCTTTCAATGCTATCAGAAACGGCTTTATCGACTTCAGGCAATTCTATTGGCAACGGTATGGATTTTGGATTCAATTTATCTGCTAAGAGGTCATCAACTGGTTTGTTCTCACTTTTCGAGTTGGTCAAATCAATATTTGTTGAAGGGCTGCTCTGAACTGCGGGTGTGGTCTGAAACCTTTTCAAAGTATTTTTTAGAGATTGCATATCTATTTTTGTTTCAGTATCTGCTTCAGTCTCTAAAGGTGTAGGTAAGGCATTTGAGGATTGTTTAACTTTATCTGCTTTCTTATCTTCTTTGTGTTTCTTTTTATTTGAGTCTCTTGCATCTGATTTATTCTTGTTTCTACTGTCACCTTGTTTATCTTTTTTCTTATCTTTATGTTTATGTTTGTCCTTTTCTCTGTGCTCTTTACGTATTTTACCATCAGAATCTAAACTACCTGTACTGCTTCTTCTATCGCCTTTCTTTGTTGTATTTTTCACGTCAGTTGAGGCAGGAAACAAATTTCCAAACATGTCAAATTCTTTCACTACTTTTGTAGATGACTTTGATTTCTCCCGAGATTTTTCCCGAGATTTCTCCCTCGACTTTCTTGAATGCCCTGCACTTTCAGAATCACTAGTTTTATTCATCTGGTAGACTGCATCAGCTAAGTTGAGTTCTTGATGTATTTTTTTTTTGACTTCTTCAAGTTCGTGGACACTTTTTGACTCATATTCGACGTCAACCATTTTTTTCTGCACGTTCTCCTGCACATCGTCCAGGTCTATTATTGGGCGTCTAGTGTCTACTATTTTTGATGATACCATTGGAGCATTTGGTGAATTGGTGGTAATTTTTGACTCAGGACGTGTGCTGAAATAATATATACCGTGTCAGTAATTGACAATATCAATAAACAATTAACGCTCCACTTACTCAGTTTGAATTTTAGGATCTCCAATATCACCTAAGTTCTTTGGACTATCTGTACAGCTTGGCGTCACTTTAGTCAGCAATTGAGGATTCTAGAGTAAAATTAAGTAACAGGATAATATTGAGTAAGTAAAAAATTTTTCAGTAAGTTGTATTCAACCTCATGTAGCATAAAAAGACTTACCACTTTCAGATAGATATTCTTGAGCACTTCTTCACATTTATTGAGGGTATCCAATTTCAATCTAAAATAAAAACGATATGAAATTAAGTGTCACAATATTGCCATTCTATACAGCTTTATTCGAGAAAGTTCTCCTTTGAAAGTGTTTTTTTTTTCTCCACCAGCCACCACCACATCCAGATCGGATAGAGGTATGGAACAATATACGAGATATTGATGGCAACAGATAAGACATAAGTAATAGTATATTGGGCCCTCAGATATGAGTGGTACCGGGGAAATTAAATACCCGGGGCGAACCAAAACTAGCACTGCAGCGTCTGCCTCAGAATGAGCAACTGAAAACAATGTCTGTCCCAGAATGGGCGGCTGAATCAAAACTCACCAACCCGCCTGGCAAGCGTGGTGTATTACTTGCCATTACCCCCCTATACATAACATGGCGAATTTTAAAACAAATGGAACTGGTCCCCGGGTGGGTGGGAAATTTCCCGACTCCCACACCTCTATGGTCAGCCTTACGGAATTTGGGGGAGGCAAAAATTCGCTCCCAACAACAAAGATCAAAACCCCACGAAAACGACTAACGCAACAAAAATCACAGAAACTGATCAACCTAACAATAGGAACATACAATATTAGATCAATGAACAATGACGAAAAGATATATGAACTGGAGAAAGAGCTGACAAGAATAAAGTGGGACATAGTAGGCTTGTCAGAAACTCGAAGAAAAACAGAAAATCGAATAAAATTGAACTCCGGTAACCTGGTATACTACAAAGGTGACGAAGACAACAGTAACTTTGGAGTAGGATTTATCATAAATAAAGCGATAAGTAAACATGTCCAAACTATCCAGGGAGTCTCAGATCGGGTTGCTCATACCGTACTTAAAATGAAAAGAACATCGTTTAAAATTATTTAAGTGTACCCCCACTTCAACATATGACGACGAGAGCATCGAAATATTCTATGAAGATATCTCAAAGGCTATGTAAGAACAGAAAACTCGCCTTATTCTAGTAAGGAAACTGAATAAAGAAGAAACTGAAATAGGTGACTTTGGGTACGATGAGAGGAACGATACAGGCACTACCTTAATGAACTATCTAGAAGAAAAACCTCTATATGCAATGAACTCGTTCTAAAAGAAGAAACCGCAAAGAAAGTGGACATGGCTGAGCCCTAATGGAACAAACTGGATATTGAAAAATATATTATTAAGGATGTAACAGTCCTGAACAGATTCACCACGGGCAGCGATCACAGAATGGTCAGAGCAAAAATACGTATCGATGGCAACTTTGAAATGAAAAGAAAAACTAATGGAAAGAAGGGACAACTATAATACATGACGAAACTTGCAAAAAATAAAACCATATACAAAGAGAGACTGAAGGAACAACTGACACACAACTTGAACAGCGATAATGAAAATATAGATAAAATGTACGATACATTAGCGGAGACCATGGTTAGGGTAGGAAAAAAAATTGCACAAAAAGATAAAAAGAAGGAAGATTGCATATCAGAAGAGACAAAGAAACTCATGAAAAGAAGGCGGAAACTGAACGAAAAAGGGAAAAGGAAATCGATACAATACACAGAAATCAATAAGACCATCAGGAAAATGATAGAAGAAAACAAAAGGAAGAAGCAAAAAATAGAAATATAGAATAACAGGAATATGAAATGCTTAAGACCGACACTAGGAAGATATGAAATAAATAAACTAAAAGACAAGAACGGCGAAGAAACTAATATTAAGGAGGATATCATAAATATCACACAACTCTTTTATACACAACTATATCAAACAAAAAAGGAACCACCGGAAGAAATTGTAAAACAACTACAAACTAAAATAAAGAATGTTAACTCAGAACTACGACCCTAAATAAGCAAATCGGAAATAAAGAGGGCTCTGAAAGAAATGAAAAACAGCAAAGCACCTGGAAAAGACGGAGTCACGGCAGAAATGCTAAAATACCGTGGAAAATGGTTATCATTGACTTATCAATACTCTCCATACCCTCCTTAATAAAATACTGAAAGAAAAGAAAATCCCAAACAACTGGAATGAATCCATAACCATCATCCTTCATAAGAAAGGTGATTTGAAAAACTATCGATCTATAACACTCCTTAATGTAATTTATAAGCTCTTCACAAAAATTCTCACCACCAGGCTAACAATAAAATTCGATGGTTACCAATCGAAAGAGCAGGCCGGCTTCAGAACGGGGTTCAGTACAAGTGACGTGACCACCTATTAACCATGAATATGCTAATAGAACGAGCCGACGAATATCACATCCCACTATACATTGCATTTATTGACTTCGAAAAGGCTTTTGATAGTGTTGAACACTGGGCAGTAAAGAACTCATTAATTAATAGTAGAATAGACTACAGATAAACATACCTAATAACCAACTTATATAGCGAAGTTAAAATTCATGAGGGAACAAAACCAATACCCATAGGAAGAGATGTTAGAAAGGGTGACACAATATCATCTACACTTTTCAACCAGGCACTGGAAGATGTATTAAAAAAACTAGACTGGGAAGAAAAAAGTATAAAAATATGCGGACGACACTTGGAGCAACTTGAAATACGCGGATGATATCGCCCTAATAACTGATAAGAAAGAAGAACTCACGGAAATGCTGGAAGAACTTGAAACAGCAGCTAAAAACATAGGTCTCAATATGAACTACGCTAAAACTAAAACAATAACGAACACATACGATGACATCACAATCAGAATAGGACAAGTCGACGAACATATATATCTAGGACAGATTATTAAACCCAACAAAGAAAACCAAACAGCAAAAATCAAGAGACGAGTTAGATTGGCTTGGGCAGCATTCGGCAAATTAAGCTACATCTTGAAAAATAGAAAATATCCACAATTCCTCAAAACCAAAGTGTATAATCAATGTATACTTCCTGTCCTCACCTATGAATCCCAAACATAGACACTTACAAAGTCAAACATGTATAAAATAACAAAAGCACAAATATCAATGGAAAGATAACTGTTACATGTGAAACTGATAGATAAAAGAGGAACGAGTGGATAAGAAATAAAACGAGAGTAAGAGACGTGAGAAAGGAGGTAGAAAATTGAAATGGAAACTCGCAGGTCACAATATCAGACAAAAACACGACCAATGGAATAAATGTATTTTAAGTTGGAGACCTTGGGAGAATAAAATAAGTAGAGGTAGACTATTCATTTCGAAAAGAGATAAGAAGACAGCAAGTGCCATAGCGATAGAGATAACCATCTCTATCCGTTACAGAGTTCCAGCCCTGGGTCCTTATTCTTGGAACAGGGAAGCAGCGTTCCCAGGAGAACGAATGTTCCCTTGTTACTTATACTATCATTTGCATATCATTGAGAAAAACGGAACACTCATTCTCCTGAGAACGCTGCTCCCCTGTTTGAAGAATAAGGACCCAGATGAGGTATGCCGATGACCTAAAGAAGCACGCTAAAACCAGGTGGATGAACATGGCAACAGACAGAGAGGAATGGAGAAGATTGGGGAAGACCTACGTCCTAAGATGGACTGACGAAGGCTGAATAGATAAATAGATAAATAGAATAGTATTGCGAGTGTAGAAAGTGACAAATTTCACACGAGTGTATGAAAGACGTTTTCTCACAAGTGATGTACACCATTTTTCCTACGAACAGAAACCAATTAGCACCAATTTTCTATGATATGAAAAGAAATATAATAAGCTTTTAATTTTCAGCACAAGTGCTGAAAGTAGCTTTCAACCCACGTATTGAAAGTAAATTATGGTGTGAATCACAAATAATGTCAACAGCTTTTTCATACGTGTGTTTTCAATTTAGCCTTGACTTTAATTTCCTCAAAATTTTCTTTAAAAACATAGTTTCGGTATCTTTAACCAACTAAAAATTCTTTCCCTTGTATTGAAAGTATTTACGGCACTCGTGCGATATTTAGCGTTTTCCAAAGAACCAACGTGCGAATTTTGTCGTTTTCGTATGTGGTCGTAGGAAAATACAATTAAACCAACTAAAGTTCAGTTTTCAATCTACTTCCACTGGTTATGTACAGGGTGATCTATTATAAATTATTGAGGATTCTTCTTGAGAATTTATCATATTTTATTTTCATAAACATTTAGGTTTGATTCCCAAAATATGTACGCTTTTGAGACTTTCTGACTCATCCATTTTTAATCTGCTTTGACCTCAAATTTCCTTTCCTTTAATTTTATCATTCAAAAGAAGAGTTTTCACTCAATATGAAAGTGGCGTACAAGGTGATCTAATATAAGTCACTCCCTCCTAACTTTTTCATTTGACGTTATACAAAAGTTTTGAAAAATTATCAAAAGTTTCTAACCAAAGGGTCATTTACATCCACTTAACTTAACGTAGGCAAAATTATAATTAACGTACGAAACTGAGAAGGTGTGTGTTTACAATAAAGTTAAGGGTCATTTACATCCACTTAACTTAACGTACGGAAAATTAATAAGAAAGAAAAATCGAAGATCATGTACTTATAATATGTAGTTGTTTACATCCACTTAAAAAATTAAGAAAATTAAGGTAATACACGGAAAAGTTGAACCAACTTCAACTTAAGGAAATCCGTGCGTTAATTTCAATAATGATTATGAATGACTGACAGATTGAACTAGTCTGCCTCTAATGAAGTTAATTTTTCTATGTGTAATCACCAATGACATTGATAATCACAAGACCTTTACGGAAACACTGATCCGATTAACCCGATCAGCATCTGTTTGTCTTTATCTTCGTTTAATAAATACGATTGAAAAATGACGAAGGATATCAGCTGGTGATCGGGTTAATCGGATCAGCGTTTCCGAAAAGGTCCTGTGACTATCAATGTCATTAATGATTACATGTAGGAAAATTAACTTCATTAGAGGCATTCTTTCCATCTGAACAAACTGATCGAAGTCACTTGAGGTTTGTTTCAAAAAAAATTTATCCGGTTTTAAAACGATTTCATTGGCCCCAGCTGTTTTTTGACGCCTCATGAACAAACCTCATGTGATCACAATCAGTTTGTTTTGATCGAAAGAATATCAGGATTGTAAACACACACCTTCTCAGTTTCGTACGTTAACTATAATTTTCCGTACGTTAAGTATATTGTAAATGACCCTTTAATTCTCTTATGTAACGCATGCGCACTTGTAACTGTGCTAAAGACATGGTTGTCATCAGGCGGTGTCAGTGAATATTCTTAGGTTACGCCCCACTTTTCTTCCCCCTTTCGTCTCTATCAAGTTACCACTTGTCAGACTATATGTAAAAGTTTATTTAGGCACTATACTCAAAACTAACTTAGTTAAAAGCTTTTGACAATTTCTTAAAACTATTGTAGTCGACACTTCTGTCAAAAACGTCAAATTAAAAAGTTAGGAGGGGGTGACATTTATAGATCATAGATCACCCTGTACATGATAGAGATACATATTATTATCAGGATCGGCCACTAGCTCCATGTCTATTACTGTGCCGAATATCTCATCAAAATTCAGCTTTCATTCTGTTTATTCCCAGACCTTAAACAATCCTATAAATTTGATTCCAGGAACTCAGTATGTGATTCCATGAAATGGACAAATACAAATGGCGAAACCGAGCATAGTTCTGCACCTGACAAGGGTGCGTTCAATACAGAATAATACTCAACTATGCTATTCTTTCCATAATTACAGCAAACATAACCAATAGGAATGTTCACTATTTTTTGATTGTAATTTGTAATGAAAAGTGGTGGTTCTAAGTTCACAAAACACGTATTAAGCGTTAAAACATTTGGAAACCCTTTATTTTTTTGATAAATCGAAATTAGCGAGGGTAGCAAAACGACCCCCTGCAGCGAGAGGCTTGTGACCTCACTGTGCGGAACGAACAATCAGCTGGCGCGTTGGCGAGTTTGTTTACAAGTTTACTGATTGTTTTGCTGACTGTTGCTTCATCCCATTGACTGTATCCCAAGAAGCTTTATTCACTCTAATTATGTGTGTTTCTGTGATGATGGGAGACTCAAACAAAGTTAAACCGAGTTGAAAAAAGTGGTACCTACGTGCGTTTCTACGAGGTGCGAAAATGTGGTATTTTCCGCACGCAAATCGAAGCGTGGAGGAGCGTTTTCCGCACGCTCGTAGGAAAAATGAGCCTAACACGTAAAGAACGCAAATAACTATATCACTGCCCAAATTCAACTATCTACGTCTAATACGTCTGTTTTACTTCTACACCACTGAACTGGGGCTGATTCAAGTCTTGACACTTGACCAAAAATTTTGATACCATCGTATAGTAACGTCCACAGTTGGCAAATTATGTGAAAAGGCCTTTTGAAAACCTTCCTCCATTTTAGCCATAGTACCTTTTCCATCTTAATTTCGATAAACCCCAACACAAAGATCGACACGAAAGAGATAACAGCACTATCAAAATACTTGTTAAACGTTAAACAGACTCTCTCGGTAAATTAAAACCTAACCATAATAACAATAACAATAATATTAGTTTTGTTTTTGGAAGACTGAAGCGAAGACAATCTGAGCTCTGAGTGACGTGACTAATACTTATGGTGTTTGTTCTCAGAATCATATTAACAATAATTTGACACCTAAAGTGCGTTTTTTTTTTTAAAGATAAAAGTCAAACTGACATTAGGTTGGCAATACAATGTAAAATTGTCGATGCTTTCAAATTTTTCATGTAAAAAAGGCTTGTGTTGCCAACATAGTTACTAAATTTTTGACTTGGGGAATTATCTTTAAAAAAAAAAAACGCACTTTAGTTATGTTGCCTAAAACTAGATCCCCCCTAGGAGTAACACTAGAAGTTTACCCCTTTTTGTGAAGTTTGACGAACAACAAACCGATTTGATTACCCAAAATTTAGGCGATATTTATGGTTTCAAGAAAACACTTAAGAAAATACTTACTTTCTTGATGAGTCTGTAATCATGAGGTGCAAAGACTTCATTTTTTCCAGCTGAGCTGTTCTATTCCCCTTCGCCTTTAATTCGGTCATCATATTCTCCAGAAATGGAATGTATTGTTGCAGTGACTGCAACTTCGCCTCATAGATTTCGTCTGCCATCTTGTAATCTGAAGAAAACAATAGAATTAGAGTTTATCGGCCATATTTTGTTTGGTTTACTAATTTCATAGTTTTTCATAATAACTAAATAGGGATAAAATAGTTCCATTAATTTTCAACAAGTGAGTATTTAGGACCTAGAATTGTCATCAGCTTAGGAAATAATAGCGCCTTTTTCCATGTTTACTCCAGGCAAAGAGTTTTTATATGTAATGAAAAGAATGAGGCCAAGGATAGTTCCTTGGGGCCTTTCCATTTGAACCATTAAAGGCTTGTCACCAATCCAAAGAGCTTGTCTATACGCTCTCCAATCACTTATGTCAGATTATTCACCAGTTTAGTTTCATATCTTGGTATCACTATACATACCGTGGTTTTGAAGGAATTTAACACTTTATCAGTTTCAAATATTGAATTAATTTTTTGACAGTTCTCACTTGATTAAAGTCAAGATTAGAGTTTTTTTTTCTTTACGCTAACCATTTCAACATGGCACTCACAACTTCCGTTTGCAACTGTCAAAGATTCTTCTGAAAACAGTTGTCAAATGCGTCATAATTTTATGTCAAATTTCTCAGTTAGTAATCATTACCAATCCACGTGCTTTTGATTTATCCTAAATTATTTCCTATTTCCTACGGATATTACTATGATAACTACTGAAAATATGCACAAGAGGTTTCCATAAATGTACTCATATGTCGAGAACTAATGTCATCAATAATAATATGTCTGGTAAGCTTTCATTTTTTGTAGAATTTATTTGCCTATAATAATCTCATTTTCATTTACCAAGTTTAGGAACCTGGAATGTGCCGATCCCCATCACCGAAGCTATAATTCTTACCATATCGAACATTTTCAATGTTTGCGGAGTTCTCTGTAGTGTAGTGTAGTGACCACCTCACCAAAAGCATCAGAATTTATTATAGACATTCGCTTAGTTAGCTACATAAGTATATATGTATAATCTATTATCCACGTGTGGCTAAATTCACCAAAATTTTGCACCGCCACGGATGCGGTGATTGTGATTCACCTATGCCATGCCAATGCCAAACCCTGTTTAATTTAACAACTTTTCTACCATTCCACCACGGTGCCTACACCAGCTGAATTCAGCCACACGCGGTATGTGAACAAAATTGTTCATCATAAATGATCGACATTATTGGGAATTATTAGTTACTCAGAATTATGGTCATCATCGAAAATCCTGAATACATAATTATAACTCTTAAAAAGCATAAGACCCGTAAAAGTGTATGCTGAACTCTTTCCAACTCCATCTACAATTGAGCAAGTCTCTCTAAATTTTGTTTGCGGAAGAGAGTCTATCTGCATGATACCTCTTTTTAGCTGCCGTGATAATATAAGCTTGTAGACTGTGGTAGGTAATTCAATAACTTTTACCAAGACAAAATGAGGCCCAGACAGCGGAGATTATGGGAACATATCCAAAGGCCCTCAGTAAACTACGGTTTTTGGGGTTTACTTTTAATGTAGGCCGCATTGAAAGCAATAAGCACATCAAAGTGAAAGGAAGAAAGTGGATCAGGAGAATCTTCAATCGCCAGCTATTTTATGTCCAAAGTTTTATTGTGGAACACCTCAAAACTCCCACATCGTCGAGCACTCTTGAGTAATTTGTTCAGCTCAAGAGGGAACGTGGAAAGGAGTGTTTCATTATCAGAAATTTCAGATGGAGTCACACTTGAAATGGCATTCGACAAATTTAAACACAAAATTAATAATAAAAAAAATCGACGTAATACGCGTAGCAGAACCAATGTGCATATCCAAGCCGTAGGAGCTCCAATGCGCGAGTTGCCAGAGACTCTCGACTGGCAGCATTGTTAAGAAAGGCAATAGTAACTAAAATAGAATCTCGCTGCTGCTCAACTAACAGTGACGTATTTATATTTGCCATTGCTGCAACATGGATGCTTTGGATTATCTTCTATAAATCTCTAGGGGCAGGAGAGTTTTTCCTAAGACATGATGGAAGTCTTCGTATGTTTCGCCGATATTCAAGAATGAGAGGGATCCTGTAAATGTTGCAAATTATCGATTTATTTCACAGGCTTTTGAATCCCTCATGATCCACCACTACTTTCAAAAATCTAATTATGTAACAACAGCAGTAGTTTATGAACAGGCACTGTCGAAGGTATACACAGACTTCTTCAAGGCCCTTGACAGGGTAGAATGGGTGGATCATAGTATATTTCTAGACAATCTATCCAAGTATGGGGTGAGGCAAGCTGTCTTAAACTGGATTCAATGATTCAATTATATCTGGCGAACAAAACTCAGATTGTTATGGTCAAATCGTTCAGATTTTCTGTGATTGATGTCCCTTCTGGTGTGCTCAAGGGGGTTATATCGCGCCTTGCTTGTCTAATATCTATATTAATGATGTAATAGCTTGTTATAATTAAAATTAAGTCTGAGGTGGGAGCTCGACAGTTGAAGGATGATCAAGCGTAACACACATGATTTTAGTAATACATGGGCTCTGAGGAATCTGTACATATCTCTAGTAAGAACATATTTAGAAAGCAGCCTGACTCTTTGGTCACCATACTATCAGGTAGATGCTATACAACCTGTGCCGAGAAAATTCCTCAGATACATTACCTTTAGGCTTCAGGTCCCAGCAGATCTTATAGACTGTTCTTTTCTAATGCAGTTGCTGAATCATCAGCCACTTACTACGATAGTCCTGAGATCCTTTCTTATATCAGATTCGACGTACCAAGGAGAAACTTACGAGTCACGAACGCATTTTCGCGACTACCCGACTTGTTATGCACCAATCCCAAAGTCGGCTATTATCGGCCGTTGCAATTACAACGTCTAAACACCTGTACCTTTTGAGGTAGTGCCTACGTCTGCTACCCCACTAATCAACAACCGTTTTTTTAAAGTAACATCGCGACGTCCGGCTGACGTTATATTGTGAAGTTTTCTTGTAAAGTCGGATAACCGACGTCAACCCAACGTCGGATAGGCCTCATGTTATCCGACGGCCGATTTTAATATGATCATAACGTCGTACATCAATTGGTAGCCGTGTTTCCAAATTTAGAAATTAACGGTTTTTTGGATCTACTCGGCTTGTATGTTTCTAATTTCCTTCTTTGCATTCAATGTAATTCCTGAAAACATGATCTCACCTTGAATAGGCACTAGTGAATACTTTAATTTTGAACTGCGATCCAATACAATTTAACTCGGTAGATTGGCCACATACACGATCCAATATTGTGAAATGTCGTACGATTTTGTCGAATTCGACAAAATCGTTGACATTCATTTGCACAGCTTCTTGGGGTCCGTTTTGTACCTGATGCCCAGGTATTTTATTGGTAGATATAAATATTCCAAGTTACTCGATTTTACACCTTTCAATGCTATTTGATAGAGAAAGGTGATAAATGTACCTGCACCTGTGGACATCGGATTGTGAACAGGATATATATGGAGGCAATGTTTATTTACATTTGGGGCCGCATCGCCATCTTGAATTATCAGCTGATTAGAATCGCCTAATAGTATATTGTTATACAGGGTGGCGCAAAATGAACGTTATGATTTGATTGTATTATAACTTTTTTATTAAAATTTTTAATTTCTCTTTCGTTTTAGAAGTTTGTAAAGAAGACTTGGGGAATTTAAAATGGAACAATACACGATACAACGAACGAAAATCATTAAATTTTACTTTGCGAATGGAAACTCAATTATTGTTCTTACGCAGCGTGCATATCGTCGGCATTTTAATGTGCGTGTTGGACCCTCCCGTGTCAACAATAAATCGTCTGCTTGCAAATTTTCAGCAACAAGGTTTAGTAGGCAACCTCCATGGTGCTGGAAGACCACGTAATGAAATCCGTGCCATAACTCCTGAAATTTTGCAAAAAGTTATGCAACATTTGTCGGAAAGAGCACGACTTTGCGAAGCAGAAAATGGCAGACACTTGCGAGATGTCATTTTTCACATTTGAGTAAAAAAATTTCTCCATTCATAAGCTGTGTTGAAAAAAAAAATATATATTAATAATTCACTTAAAAATAAAAAAGTTATAAAGCATTCAAATCATAACGTTCATTTTGCGCCACCCTGTATTAGGAGTAGAAGCTTCATTTTTTTGTGCTGAAGCGGTAGGTTCGCAAGCCAAACGTACTACTACTAAAAGTAATATTTACTGCCGCTGGGATTGCCTAGCAGGCCGCAGCATATAGAAACTAAATTTCTACCATATCCACAGGCGTTAACAAAGTGACGGTTTTTTGACGTTTGGAGAAAATAGTATATTGTTGTATTAGGAGTAGAAGCATTACTTTTTTGTGCTGAAGCACAAAAAAGTGCTTCTACTCCGTATGCAACACGCTATTTTTTCTCCAAACTATTGGGGTAAGCTCGGGGGCAAGTGAATCGTTGAGCGGCAGTAAAAGTACGAGCGGCACTAAAAGTACTTTTGCTGCCGCTGGGGTTGCCAAGCAGCATAGAAATTGAACTTCTACCACCTCGACAGGTGTTTACCCGCTGGATTTGCCTGGCAGCATAGAAATCACATTTCTGACATCTTAACAGGCGTTAACAAAGTGACGTTTTTTTGACGTTTGGAGAAAAACGTTATTTCTCAAATGAACCTGTTACATGCTCAGACAAGTCCGGCGCAGTGACGTTTTTTATCATCAGTGCCACACTCGATGCCACAATTTTCAGTTCTTAAACGCTTTGTTTTTTCCCCCATCGAAAGTGAGGTTATGTGTGTGACGTGAGCTAATGCCTAATTGCAAGGACTTACGAGACCCTTTCACTATGCGCAAATTTGCAGGCGGCTTGCAAATGCATCCTGCTCTGCTGTTTTTTTCTATTACGAAAAGTCAGAACTGCAGGTCCTGCATTTATTTGTATCTTGCTGTGGCGGAGCTTCTGTAATTCGGGGCTTAATCCCATATGGAACAGAAAACTTAAAACGGACAAATTATAAATAAA